CAGATCAGGATCAACCTTTGGCCTTGACGGAATCAAGGATGTGTAAGATACAGAAGAGCGAAGTATGAATGTATGATCGGCCTCCAGGAATGCTCTACAAGCAGCGTTCTCATGATTTGAAACTGTTGGATGACTTGTTCTTGACCAGATGACTTCTTCCGGAATTTCTCTCCCGTGTCTGCATGGTCCCTTCTGTGAGGGATGCTTATCCTTATGGTCAGCGAGGATAGCTGTAGAAACATCACTCTGATGCATCGCACAGGAGCAGGCACAACCGCACATGTCCTGCCTGTAGGAGGAAGACGGGGTACGATGATGGGGATTGCTGGGTCCATCTTGAGGAGCCCAACCTGGATGACATTGTGAGTTGTTTCAAAGTTTTGCCATCACACGTGATTGCATGTATCCATGCGTGACTGTCGAGTCGTTTCACCTTGTCGTTTGTGTTGTCTTGGGAAGAGATTCGTAAGTGTTTGCTCACTTGTTGTCAGGTGGAGGGATTGTATGCATTCATTCGAAAGATTTAGATTTTCAATAGAAAGAACAAGCGGAAGTTGAAGTATTTGACACGGCTCCATATCAAACTTGCATCCAATGTCGTTACGATGTCCTGATGGCTGGACAGAGTTTCAAACTACTGAACGCAGGGAGAGGGGACTGTGTCCAAGAAATCAAGAAACTTCATGTTATGACCAAGATAGCCGTTGTGATGATTTTATTCGTGAATCATCTTGTAAACGGAGGAAGAGGGAAACGAGCCACCATCACATCCTCTTTCTGCTTCTTTGCGTCCTCCGCTTGTTGACCCCTTCTTTGATCAGCTCCTGCACGCGACTTGCGAGAACGACGGGCCTGTGGATCCACCTCGACCTGCGAGTGAAGTTGAGCATAAGTTGGAGAAAGAGGAAGAGATTTGACCTTGATCTTCATGTCGATCTCGTCCGCTTTGTCCTTCCCGGACCTCTTCACCTAACAAAGAGGGTCACAGGGAGGAGGAGGAAGGGAAGAGGGGGGAGAGGAGGGAGGACAAGCAGGAATGGCGCAGCGAGCAAGGGACTTGCCTTCCTGCTGCTCTTCTTCAGAGCCTGCACCTTTAGGGACAAGCGAGTCAACAGCGAGTTGGATGCTACAATGAGGTACCTTGTGTGACTTGGCAGCAGAAGGATTCTGCTTTGCCTCCTCCTCCTCGATCGCAACCCCGATATCATGCAAGCGCTTCGCGTCTTCGATGACTCGCTCCTTGGCGTCCTTGACCGCCTGCCTGGCGCGTCCCAGGTCGGAGTCCTCGTCCTCGTCGAGGATATCATCGCTTTGATCGCTGAGATACTGGACAAACTCTTGGCTATTTCCAGCGTCACCAGTCTGCTCCACGACCTGACGGGGACGGGCAACACGGAAAGCGCTGTCGTAAGTCCTGGGCTGCCTGGTGCCATGCGCCAACGCGAAATTGAGACCACTTCGAGCGTACCCGCCGCGCTGCAGGAGCTGACTCTGTCCCCTGTGGGAGGAAGAGAGAAGCACGGCGCTAACAACGAGGAGCAATGCACTGACAACTCCAACCACCGGAGAGATCATTCGGGGCGACCTGCGCGATGCTGATTGAGGCTTGCCGCCGTCAAGAGTGCCGTACTCAGTCGACCTCATCATGCTAGTCCCAACCTGAGACCTGCTATGGCAACTTGTCACTTTGAGCTCGTTGGCACGTTACGGGTTGACTTCTTCCCTAGCATGACACGCACAGATTGATATCACGATCACAATGCAAACTGCACTTCTTTCCGTTGATAAAAACCATTCATTTCATCCCTCTCCTAGTCTTGTACCGCTCGCTCCCCTCCCGCTTTCCTATCCTCACAATCCTATACCCACACACTGGTTTTCCCCAAGGTCATGGCATCCCATCCTGTCCTGTCCTGTCCTGTCCTGTCCTGTCCTGTCCTGTCCTGTCCTGTCCTGTCCTGTCCTGTCCTGTCCTGTCCTGTCCTGTCCTGTCCTGTCCTGTCCTGTCATGTCATGTCATGTCATGTCATGTCATGTCATGTCCTGTCTGTCATGTCGTCCTTCCCCATCTCCCGCTACCCTATGATTCCCTCCCTCCTTCACTAGTCTGTTGATACATCAAGTGCATGGTGCCCCTTCGTTTGACGGTTACAAATACATAGCGATCACCGTTACACAATCAGCATCGCCCCCGAACCAACAACGCTCAGGGCAGCAAATTAAAACCTATCGATTTTGATGCTGCCCCCGTAACCACTTGGTCGACGACAGCGAGCAGAGGGCAGCGCCAAGGGCAGGGCAGGGCAGGACAGGACAGGACAGGACAGGACAGGACAGGACAGGACAGGACAGGACAGGACAGGACAGGACAGGACAGGACAGGATAACAGAGGAAGAGGAGAGTGGAAGAGGAGAGAAGACCAAGACCTGCCTCGTGATACATTCGCGGCACGAACTTTAGAGAGGGGATGGTAGCGAATGGAAGTTGCTCGGTTCTTGCCTGCGGATCTTCAGCCCTCGTTGCTACTCTGGTGCTCCTGGCTTCCTTGGCTCTGTGTGAGGGCAAGGCTCACATAGTCGTTCCTTGCTACAACGAGGAGACCCGACTTCCACAGCAAGTTTTCCTGGACTTCGTCGACCAGGCAGCGAACAAGGACGTGCTGTTTACTTTCGTCAACGATGGCAGCAGCGACGGAACTTTACGTGTTCTCCGAGAGCTCGCGGCAAAGCGACCGCAGAGAATGTCCGTCTTCAACCTGGAGGTCAATGGTGGCAAGGCGGAAGCCGTTCGCAAGGGCATGCTTCACGTGCTGCTGTCGAGGAATTTGACGAGGGAGGACGTGGTTGCCTTCTGGGACGCGGACCTGGCGACGCCGCTCGAGACGATCCCTCGCTTCATGCGCAAGTTGGAGGAGAACGAGAAG